TCTTACATATTACACACAGCACATTCAGTCACACCACACAGCCCTCTCACATATTACACACAGCACATTCAGTCACACCACACAGCCCTCTTACATATCACACACAGCATATTCAGTCACACCACACAGCCCTCTTCTCACATATCACACACAGCATATTCAGTCACACCACACAGCCCTCTTCTCACATATTACACACAGCACATTCAGTCACACCACACAGCCCTCTTACATATTACACACAGCATATTCAGTCACACCACACAGCCCTCTTACATATTACACACAGCACATTCAGTCACACCACTCAGCCCTCTTCTCACATATAACACACAGCACATTCAGTCACACCACTCAGCCCTCCTCTCACATTACACACAGCACATTCAGTCACACCACACAGCCCTCTTCTCACATATTACACACAGCATATTCAGTCACACCACACAGCCCTCTTACATATTACACACAGCATATTCAGTCACACCACGCAGCCCTCTTCTCACATATTACACACAGCACATTCAGTCACACCACTCAGCCCTCTTACATATTACACACAGCATATTCAGTCACACCACGCAGCCCTCTTACATATTACACACAGCACATTCAGTCACACCACACAGCCCTCTTACATATTACACATATCACATTCAGTCACACCACACAGCCCTCTTCTCACATATTACACACAGCATATTCAGTCACACCACACAGCCCTCTTCTCACATATTACACACAGCACATTCAGTCACACCACTCAGCCCTCTTACATATTACACACAGCACATTCAGTCACACCACACAGCCCTCTTCTCACATATTACACACAGCACATTCAGTCACACCACACAGCCCTCTTCTCACATATTACACACAGCACATTCAGTCACACCACACAGCCCTCTTATCACATATTACACACAGCACATTCAGTCACACCACACAGCCCTCTTACATATTACACATAGCACATTCAGTCACACCACACAGCCCTCTTACGTATTACACACAGCACATTCAGTCATACCACACAGCCCTCTTACACATTACACACAGCATATTCAGTCACACCACACAGCCCTCTTCTCACATATTACACACAGCATATTCAGTCACACCACACAGCCCTCTTCTCACATATTACACACAGCACATTCAGTCACACCACTCAGCCCTCTTACATATTACACACAGCACATTCAGTCACACCACACAGCCCTCTTCTCACATATTACACACAGCACATTCAGTCACACCACACAGCCCTCTTACATATTACACACAGCACATTCAATCACACCACACAGCCCTCTTACATATTACACACAGCACATTCAGTCATACCACACAGCCCTCTTACACATTACACACAGCATATTCAGTCACACCACACAGCCCTCTTCTCACATATTACACACAGCACATTCAGTCACACCACACAGCCCTCTTCTCACATATTACACACAGCATATTCAGTCACACCACATAGCCCTCTTACATATTACACACAGCACATTCAGTCACAACACACAGCCCTCTTACATATTACGCATATTCAGTCACACCACACAGCCCTCTTCTCACATATTACACACAGCACATTCAGTCACACCACACAGCCCTCTTACATATTACACACAGCACATTCAGTCACACCACACAGCCCTCTTCTCACATATTACACACAGCACATTCAGTCACACCACACAGCCCTCTTACATATTACAGAGCTGAAGGGGGTATTAAGCTTTTGACAGAATGTATACTATTTTTTTTTTATATTTGATTGAATCAGGAGGTTCCGCAATTTAACATGCACATGTTCTCATTCTTTGACTATGTCTGTTGTAACAGATAATATAATAACTGAGCTGATTAACAGTGGAATGTTTATCATAGAATACGTAGGCACGTAGTGACAAACCTGTGTGACGAGAAACCTGCAAGCTCACTCTCCTGCACGGATAGTCATTAATGTCTTATTCCTATACAAAAGGGACAGGAAAAAAAACCCCAAAAAACTGTCCCAATTAAAGATTCTCAAAATGAAACAGGAAAAAAAAATCTGTACAACTAGTAGATCACAATGGAATCCTTCACCCTTCCCTGGGTGTGACCTCTCTCGTCAGTCGTATGGGGTCAGGACTGGTTGCGCCAACCCTAACAAACTCTTCACTTCACTTCCCCTCCCCCCCTTTCTTTTTCTTTTTTGTACATTTTCCTTTACTGTTCTTCCTTGTTGTTCTCTATCCCTTGATGTATCCATGGGATTAAAAGTGTATTACCGTAGATTTTTACTCGTCTCCCATGGATATTGTACACACCTACCCTTTGAGCGCACAGACTAAGGCTGTTTTTTCATGGTAATATGATATCTTTGGATGACGTTAAGGGGTTCTATTTTATGTATCCTTTTGTCTATTAACAGTTTCGTAAAATACCTGGTAGTGTAGATACGAGGGCTCATTCTGAGGCTTAGCTCAACACGATTACTTTTTTTAAGCCAGATACTACTAAATATGATGTATAATTTTGCTTCAACTGTTATTACCTCGACATACTGGATTTCTGTACACTATACCTTTTTCTACTACCTGTCAATCCAAAATAAAGATTTGGAAGAAAAGAAGAAAAATTATACGTTATTTGAATAATGAAAACGAAATAATGTATTTTTTTATTTTACATGTGTTTTTTTATTTTTATTTGGAGATTCAATATCATAGTTTTACATAGTTACGTAGCTGAAAAGAGACTTGCTTCCATTATGTTCAGCCTTCCTCACATATGTTTTTGCTGTTGATCCATAAGAAGGCAAAAAACCCAGTTTGAAGCGCTTCCAATTTTGCAGCAAACTAGGAAAAAATCCTTCTTGATCCCAAAATAGCAGTCAGATGTCTCCTTGGATCAAGAAGCTATTACCCCACTGAATGGAAATTATATCCCTGTATGTTATGTTTTTGCAAATATTTATCCAATTGCTGTTTGAACATCTGTATGGACTCTGATAAAACCACCTCTTCAGGCAGAGAATTCCATATCCTTATTGCTCTTACTGTAAAAAAAACCTTTTCTTTGCCTTAGATGAAATCTCCTTTCTTCCAGCCTAAATGCGTGACCTATGTATAGCCCTGTTTATGAATAGATTTCCATATAATGGTTTGTACTTGCCCCGAATATATTTTTATAATGTTATCATATCCCCTCTGAGGTCCCAATTTTCCAAACAAAATATATATATATTTTTTTTACCTTTCTTCATAACTAGAATGCTCTATTCCTTTTATCAATTTTGTAGCTCGTCTCTGCACTTTTTCTAGTGCGTGATATCCTCCTTTAGAACAGGTGTCCAAAATTGCACAGCATATTCAAGGTGTGGTCTTACCAGCGATTTACAAAGAGGCAAAATTATATTTTCATCCCGAGAATTTATGCCCCTATTTATACATGACAAAATCTTACTGGCCTTAGCAACTGCAGATTGACATTGCATATTACTGCCTAATTTGTTGTCTGTAACAATTCCCAAATCCTTCTTGTGTGTTGTTATCCCTAATTCACTACCATTTAGGGTGAAAGTTGTTTGTGCATTCTTTACCCCTGTGAAGGAATGCCCCATCACTTGGTTCGGTAATATTCTTTTTTCCCCTGTTCTGTGAGGATATTTAATGGGGTGATAAATATTAAACTAAAATTTTTAGAAAAATTATCAAAAAATAATTTAATAATTTTTATTATATCAAAATTGATATCTCGGCACTGTTCCCCAAAATTAATATTATAATAAAGCTGAGAATTACCCACTATATTTAATTCTCTTAGATCCTAGAGCAAGTCATCAGAGGATTTCACCTCACACAGTGATCACAACTTCTTTATAAAAATATAATTTATTGTGACAATAATAATAAAAATAATAATAGTATGTAACATGCGTGACAATCAGTGAATATTTAGGTATAACATAGGCATGTAATATGGCAATGGTTTAACACATTACAGCGGCTAAAAGAAATCAGCTGTCAAGAGATTTATGATAGGGAACTTCACTTAGAAACCAACTTCACACAGAAAACAGAATTCCACAGAATACAACAATGCAGCAAGAAGAATAAAAACTTCGCTAACAGTTAGATCATACTGATTAACTCTTCCCCTGCTGGCTACAATCCTCCTAGGCATATAACATCCTATTCTGTTGTAATTTTTCAATTAATGCAATGTTCATACCAGATCATTTACCATTCTTGGAACCATCCAATAATTCTACCAGATTTTACATTAGCCGATTTGGAATTTCCCTACAAAAGATACACTATCTTATTTCAGAGCAAATCAATACATCTGGATAAAAACATTGGTATGCTAACTTGTTGGTAAATAATACCGTTAATATATTGTTATCTTTATTCCACCTGCAGAATGGAATTTTTATAACCATATATTCTTTAGTTAACTAAGATTTCTAATGATTGAAATCTGACCGAGATTTATCCAAGCATGTATTCCTGCTATTAGTAAAATTTAAATTAATTTAAATTAATTAAATAAAACCAGAATAATTACCAGTTATGTTGTAGATGTTCTTATCAGATGAGTAAATAGTCCCAGGAATTGAATGCAAGTATGATTGATGTATAGAGGAGTGTATGTAATAGAAAAGTGGTGTTGGTTAGAAAGTAAAATTTTAAGTGTCTAGGAAAGTGTTTCTTGGGTTGTTTCAAAGAGAGTTTGAATGTCTCAGTCTTTGAGTATTGAATGTTCTTGAATGTCAGAATTGAGTGTCAGTCCCAGAGTGTTGAATTCGAATCTCCCAAATCCGCTTTGTCCTTACTTTTTAAAGGGCCAAACTCTCTGCCCGTCATTAGCTGATAAGGACAATAGGGAACTGTAGGTGTGTCTACCCTACAGACTGTCATCTAGTTTTTGGTCAGTAGATGGCGCAATTACATCACCAAAATTTCTTGACCTGGAATGGGTTAACTGAAAATGATGATGATTTTGACGTCATTACTTTATCTATTTAATGACTGCATAAATCTAATTCCTGTCAATTTCAAAGGATTTCCCCAGTCTGCGTGGTGGCAATTTCGATCGTAATTCTGGAATAGACACCTCCTAACCTTAATTTCACCCTTTACTTACAATGGGACTTTGTAAGATTTAGAAAGTAAAATTAATTACTAAGTATTATCTGTAACTGTTATCTGGTTCTTGTGTCTGTGTTTAAAGGACCACTCTAGGCACCCAGACCACTTCAGCTTTATGAAGTGGTCTGGGTGCCAGGTACCTCTAGGATTAACCCTTTTTTTTATAAACATAGCAGTTTCAGAGAAACTGCTATGTTTATACTGAGGGTTAATCCAGCCTCCAGAGCCTCTAGTGGCTGTGTCATTGACAGCCGCTAGAGGCGCTTGCGTGCTTCTCACTGTGAAAATCACAGTGAGAGCACGCAAGCGTCCATAGGAAAGCATTGTAAATGCTTTCCTATGCGACCGGCTGAATGCGCGCGCGGCTCCTGCCGCGCATGCGCATTCAGCCGATGACGTCGCAAGCAAGGAGGAGAGGAGGAGTACAGCTCCCCGCCCAGCGCTGGAGAAAGGTAAGTGTTTAACCCCTTCCTCTCTCCAGAGCCCGGCGGATGGGGGTCCCAGAGGGTGGGGGCACCCTCAGGGCACTATAGTGCCAGGAAAACGAGTATGTTTTCCTGGCACTATAGTGGTCCTTTAAAATTATTTCTATTCCACTAACATTAAGAAATAGTATTCTATACCCCTTCTCGTGAGACATCATTGCCTTGTTTACATAACACATTCCTTACCTCAGGCTTGAATGAATAGAGTTACAGATAGAAAGAAATTCTGGGTCTTTTTGTTCTTATAAATACAAAATGGAGTCAGCTCTGTTCTGAGTGACTCTGGCAATATACATTTTTAATTTCTATCTTAGCACAAAATGTCTGCCGCTATAAATATACTGACAGTTTGTTTGCTCGTTCGAACGCACCTGGTTCAGTTCTCGAATGAGGAACACACCAACATCTCATTAGAACGTGGAATACAAAGTATCCAGTGCGAAACCACAATGGAAACTATTCATAAAATGCTCCCCTGAGTGGCTGCCATTTCATGCAACCAAACACATGTAGTCGACAGAATGGATGGCAATCATTTAGTCTCTCAAACGGAGGCGGGCTCCCCATTCATCGAGTGCCTGGAACTTATTTCAGCTAGTCACGTCTGCGTACACCGGTGAAGATGGAACTGCTGCCCATTCAAGTTCCCAACCACCTATATGAACAGCATTCGGGAGATATGAACTACATACTTGGGGGAGCATTGGACACTTGAAAGCATTCAGATATTTTGTTTGGTTTTCATATAAAAATCCTCAAACTTAGACCGGCTGTTGTCACTATTACTTTGGAACAATTTTGGGCTTCTACATCGTGGCCGGCCGGTCAAAACTTTAGCTCGATGGCAATTCCAAACCACTGAACCGATCTGAATGTTTTTTGGATATGTTAAGCACTCAGATCAGGGCTATCCGGGTATGGACTCTCTAAGGGTTTTCATGTATTTTGGGGGTACTTTTGGGGTGTCGTAAAATGTTTCATATTTTTACTGTACCTGGGAGATAATTGAGTTGTAAGTTTTCTCACTCAATTATCTCTCAGGCACAGGGAGGAGTTTACTATATGTATAAATTGAGAGTGCTTGCCTGAAATAAACAGATCTACTCCCAGCATTCAGTTTCGACTAATGTATGAGGGGAAAAGCTATACCAGTGATATTTACTTTCATGGTCGCTAGAGCTACTTTACTTTGGAAAAGGGAGTCCATGGCGGTGATATACTGGCGGTTCGCCACAACCCCAAAGTGCATAACTGCATTGTGCTACATTAAATTTCATCTGCCATTTTAGTGCCCAGTCCCCCAGGCTCTTAAGCCATCCCCAGCGCTGGCCGATCCTCAAGGCGACCAAAGGTGGGGGTGCCGAGATGAGCCCTGACACAGGGAGTGGCAGGGCGCCCCGAAGCTGTGCTAGGTAAGGCAGAGCAGGCACCTGCTTAGCTTGATGGTAGGTACCTGCACTGCCAACAAATTCCAGTGACCGTCCGGAGGAGAGGGGGAAGGAGAAGGAGTGTCAAGCAGTGAACAGTCAGAGCTGTGGGTTTATTGTGCTTATGTACACATTCTTACACATTAGTACCACCCACAGGGTTTTGGAACACAACCAATAAACACATACAATACACTCAGACACTCCCACACAAAATCCTCCCCTCTGCCTGTGATACAATTACCTTACACAATGGGTAATGTAATTATAACAAGCCGAGAAATACAATTTTTACACATTATTCATAACTTGAAAAGTATGCATCACATTCACATAACATGTGCATCACACTTACATTTTCAGAATCAGCATACTCCAAATACAAACATATGTCAAAATAATCCAGATTGGTCCAGTGGTTAAAAAAATAGATCGTAGTCCTTTGTGACCAAAGGAAGTATGGGTTTTCTGCCCAAAACCAGTTCGACAGAGTCTTCTATCCTGGAGATAATTGTGAAGTAATCCAATTATCTCCAAGGACAGAGGCAAAACTCCATTGAACACATGGCAGCAAAAGACAATAAAACACATAAAAACATATAACTGTGCAGCCATTGCACAAAACAGGTACATTCAACATATCCCCAGATAGCTCAGATCTGAGTGCACATTATTACTGAATGGCACTCAGAGCACACACATACAGTTCAATTGCCATGGAGCCAAAGTCTTTCCCATAGTCTTTTTATTATACGAATGGGCTCCATGGCATAGCTATCTGGGGTATCACCGCTCAAACAGGGCAAGCACCAAATGACCCGGCTTTCATGTCTTTGCAGGGGAAAATCAAGCATTTTAACATGGGGCCATAATCCAAAGGCCACAGACGAGCAACCAGGCTTCTCCAATGCAATGTGGCGAGATTGGTCTCGTCACAAGGGCTATCAGAGGATGTTACTTTTGTGGGGGTGTTATGTGTTTTAAGGTATTTTGGGGTGTTGTAAAAATGTATGTTTTTTCTGTGCTTGGAGATAATTTGATTAGATTAGTACAGTTCCTGATCCAATTATCTCTCAGGCACAGAGGAGGGATTATCTGATTATGTATGGGAGTGTGCTGGATCTGGGAACCAATGTGATTGTGTATTTATTTCTACTGTGGTTTACTCTCAGGTCCAGGGGGGAGTGCCCCTTGCATGGGGACTGTTATAAAAGGGCAGTTGTGGCTACCATTAAAGCGAGATTAGTTTTACCCTTCATTAAGTCTACGCTCATGTTTGGGGGATTGGAGAGCTATATTCACACTTTGAGGATTGCTATAATCACTATACTCCCTTGGATCACAACACTTGCTCTTATAAGAGCAGCCTGCGTTGCTCTCTGAATTAGGAGAGGTCTACCCACTTGAAGCTGGTCTTGGGTCCAGGGTGGGTGGAGGACAGTGAGACCCCAACCAAGCTGTGGGGTTTACAGTGGTTATGGTGTTCCAGTGCAGTGCTTATGGTGCTTGCAAGTACTGGGAAGCAGCGATTGACGGAGGTACCCGGTCGGGGTGCCAGGCGGTCCATCACACCCTCCCTATAACCCCTCCTATTACTCATATAACCTCTCACTATAACCCCTCATATTACTCCATATAACCCTCCCTATAGCTCCTCCTATTACTCAGTATAACCCTCCCTATAACTGTGTTGGAGCTCCTGTAGGGGACTGAGGATGGCATATAACCCTCCTTATTACTGCATACTCCCTATAACTCCAAATATCTCCTCCTATTATTTCTTATAACCCTCCCTATTACCTTCCTATTACTCCATATAACCCTCCCTATAACCCCTCCTATTACTCCATATAACCTCCCTTAACTCCTCCTATTACTTCATATAACCTTCCTATAACCCCTCCTATTACTTCATATAACCTCCCTATAACCCCTCCTATTACTCCATATAACCCTCCCTATAACCCCTCCTATTACTCCATATAACCTCTCCCTATAACCCCTCCTATTACTTCATATAACCTCCCTATAACCCCTCCTATTACTCCATATAACCATCCCTATAACCCATCCTATTACTCCATATAACCCTTACTATAACTCCTCCTATTACTCCAAATAACCCTCCCTATAACTCCCCCTATTACTCCATATAACCCCCCTATAACTCTCCCTATTACTCCATATAACCCAGACATATAATATAAATTTTAAGGAAAGTTTAATTAGTAAAGCTTTGACGGTTTTGGACAAAAGGCTGGGAGATACTTCAGCTAATTATGTAGCCCATGGAGCAGCGTAGCTAAGGGGAGTGGGCCTTGACATTGCCAGGAGACAGGCCATCTAAAGGTCAGGGGGTCAGGGTTTGGTCACTGGTAATGCTGGGGTGGAGTTTCAAGGGGAGTATAAGTAGTGTCCATTTTAGATCCAAGGATCACTTTAATCTAAGTTACACTATCTGTTTGTTGTAGCAGGATTTGTGTGGCTGTTTTTCTTTGTTTCCTCTGCAGGTCGGCAAGATGGAAGATTGGCTGGAAGGAGTCCGGGCTGCTGTGCAGGAGAGGGTTATTGAGTGGCTCAGGTATCGCCTGGGTGATGCTCTGCCATCCGGATCTTTAGGTTCCCAGGGTCAGAGGCCGGTCAGGAAGACCAGGCCTCTGCAGCGGTTGAGCCCCCATGGTGGTTCCCGGGCCCCGGCATCAGAAGAGCCCTTCCGCAGGTCCCAATGGTGGTGAATAGAGTGCCGGCGGGGAGGCTGCAAGTGGAGGAGGTCGTGGACGGCGTCGCGGCGCAACCGCGCGAACGAGCTGTCAAGCGAGGCTGGAGGTGCAGGCTGCTGGTTCGGGAACCGAATCGGAGACTGCCGAACGTTCAGGAGGCGAACATGGAGGTATGCGAACCAGCAAACTGGCGGAAACTGCCGAACGTTCAGGAGGCAAACATGGAGGTAGGCGAACTGGTGAATGGGAGACAACTGCCGAACGTTCGGTAGCCGAACGTGGAGGTACTGTTACTGCCGACCGTTCGGTTCCCGAGCGGGGAGGTGAAAGAACTGCCGAACGTTCAGGAGTTGAACGGGGAGGTAGCCATACTGCCGGCCGTTCGCCTGTCCAACGGGTGTGATAGAATTTATCTTGATTCCAAGGCTCAAGCTTATAGGTGTCATATAATGATATCCTATTTTAAAATTGGCTAACTTGGACTCAGGAAATGCTTGATGCTTAAACAACACTTAAGACCATATAAGATGTCTCTGCTCTAATCATTTTGTTCTCTCCTACCTTGAAACTTATTTGTTATGTGTACATGACGCTCATCCCTATGTCTTATCTGTGCTCTCTTCCTATTACTGTTCTAAGAGTATTTGCACGTAAGCACTTACTTTTTAATTTATAAAACCCAGCTGATGAATAAAACGTCGGAGGCTTATTTTGAATACCAACAGGTGTCTGCTGTCTAATTCTCGCTTCTCCAAGTGCACTTGTAACAACAATTTGGGCTTCCTCTGAATATAACAAAGATCAACATTTCTGATCCACAACAATTTGGTGCCATGACCCCGGGATCTGACGGTCGAGAGACTCGGACACTAGTGTACAGGTGGACGTCCCTCTGACAGTGAAATCAGCTGCAGCAAGGTAAGAACCTTTTTTTCTACCTTGATCAATTTCGCTCTCAGATCCACGTCCTACTAGTCTGTCTGGCTAAAGAACGACTTAAAAACGTCTGATCTGAAGAACTTGATTTCTGTGGTATTATGGTTACATTCAGGTGGAGGTTGTGTTATGTCTTGTGAAAGGAATCTTGAGATAGTGGAATATAACTGTGGGTTGTAAGTTATTTTTATTGTTTGCCTTGTCATTTGTTTTATAATTTGAGTTAGATCCAAGGGCAGATCTCCTGATCTGTGTTTAGAAGACAAAACTGTGAAAATTCCACTACAGCGGTCCTAAGTGTTTAAATACACTGTTTTTGTACAGTTTGTCTTGTGTAAGGAAGTAATTAACCCTTACAAGTTTTAAGATGGGTAGCTCTGAAAGTACCCAAGGGGGATTTATGGCTTTGTCTATTGTCAAGCATCACAGAGGACAAGGAGCAATTAAGAATGTTAAGAGGTTACTTAAGAAAGCTGGCATGCCCTCAGAAGGCACTCTAGACCCACATATATGGAGAGAATTACAGAGGTTGGTTAGAAGATAATGACTTAGTAGAAGTCGCACAAAAATGGCATGATACTGCTGTTGAATTAGCTAAATGTGGTTGTAGAGAACCCACCAGGAAAGGTGTACAATATTATCAATGGTTTGGACCTCTAGGGTCCCAGAGTAGGCAAGATCCTGGGAAAAATCTTGTAAACCCACCCCTTTACCAGGATACTGCAGGGACTTCTTTGGCCCCAAAAGACAAGGCGACTTCCCTTTTACGGGGATCAAAACCTCTCTTTCCAGTAATATTACGCAGTGGGACTTCATATGGTGTCCCAGTAAGACCTATGGGTTCATTAGAGCAGGAAGGTAGTCCAGACTTAAAGTTGCCCCCACAGACACCCCAGTTGGGCCATTAGCTCCACAATTTTCTACTCCCATGATACCCAAAGTTGAGAGCGTATACCATGAGCACAGACAGCCGAGCTCAGGTATCCAATACTGGGAAGAATATAAGCCCTGGACACCCAGTGAACAACTGGCAATAATACAGCAGCTGGCAGATGTTGAAAGGGCCCCCTTAGCTCTAGTCCAGTCTCTATCCACAATTCAAGCTACTTACCAGTGTACTTTGATGGATTTTTTTTTGTTTTTAATTCTTTAATTTGGTGCAAATGATTTAACAACCAGGCCCGTGGAACCACGGTTCATGCAGACATGGTCGTGATATTATACAATTGCACATTGTGTTTTTTTTAAAAACATGAAAATAACAGGCTAATAAGTCATTGTTTATATAGTTTGACATGCTAGAGTAATTAAGCATTATAATCGTTAAACGTAAATTTAGCAAGCATAGTGTATAGGAAACAAGAGTTATTCAAACTGCTGTGGTTGTGTAACATGTGTAATATAAGTGAGGTGAGTAGGTTGTGTTCCCTGATGGTCAGTGTATCAAGAGGCACTAGCTGTCTGGACATAGTAAATAAGGCTCCGTTCAACTTATGTGTTGGCTATGTGGTCGTGAGGGATCTCATGCTTTCAGGGATGTACGTTATGATGCACAGTGTGATGTACAAGATTGGCGGTGATTGCAAGGTATATTGCTATAAATGCAGGAAGGAACAATAGCCTGTGTTAGTGAGTTAGCGTGTCATGCTGTACAGAGTAAATGCTCAAATACATAAGTACTTATGTGTACCGCTGGGTGTATGACAGGGTAGTGGATGCAGGTAAGAGTTTGTGAGACTCTCAAGGGGCCAGTGTCCGGTATCATAGTTTCCATTGGTGGTTGTTAGCCCACTCCGCCTGGCGGTTCCGAGAGAGAGTGTCTTGCAGTGGCAATCCTGGTGCCATGTCGTTTCCCCTCCGGACCCCGTGTTGGGTTTTGCTGGGTTGCTCGCTGGGGTCTCGTTGTGCATCTCGTTGCTCCGCCGTATCGGCTGGCTGGGTGTCGAACCGCTCTTCGCCTCCCCAGTTGGTGGAAAACAGACCAAGTAGGTCTGATTGGACGCCCCCTAGTGGGTATGTATATACTAAAACTTAGCTTTTAATAGCATTAGAATAAAATAGAGAAATCCTCAAAAATAGAAAAAAACCAAAATGAAATAATAACTGAGTAAGGAGAGATAGGATATATGCTCCTAAATGGGACATAGAAAGATCTAGAAGATGTCTTATAATAAACATAGAAAGTATCTTCAAATAGAGATAAATCCCATATGGGTGCTGGAATCGTTGTTATAAACTACTGGTAGCTAAAAACTATACTCGTGTATCACACTACCTTGAAATCTCTGAGTAAAGACTTGTGAGGTCTAACAGAGTTACAGAGGAAAGGGGTGTTAGGTAATCATGTGAAATCATGTGAAAAAAGCTACAAAGTAGAAAGTAGAAAAATTGCTAGTACAGCTTGGGTTGTATTGGAAAAAAGTTGCTACAGCTTCTATCCATTTGCTGATGTACAGTGTATAGCTTGAAAGCAAATAGCTGCAACTAAATTCTGCAAGAAAAATATAGGTGTATGTTAAGAGAGGGGGGAGGATAGAAAGAGAATCACCAACTTAAACCATCCCTTGCTCCATCCCTTACACCGTCCCTTGCATCCCAGTTATGAATCCCCAAGTAAAGCACACTTCTCGCTTGCTGCGGTGGAGAAAGTGAACCCAATACTAACTGACTAGCTAATAACAACGATGGCGCACGAGCGTCTATCTGTCCTGACTGCCTGTTGCCTGACACGTGTTTCGGCGCTGACAGATGCGCCTTCTTCCGAGGCTATACAGGTGTCCTCTGTCTCCAGTGGTTTCTTTATACCACTCGTAGACCAATGAGCGGAGGGACGTGTGTTTGAAAGTTCGCGCCTAGCGATTGAACTCAAAACAAGCCACACACCCTTCTATCTCTATTCAGCATGACGTCACTGTGTGAGATATTGTTGCCGGCTTATTAACCCTAGAGGTGCCTAAACGTGATGGCTGCATACAACAAGAATGTAATTAGTGCATCAAGCTGAAGGGGTGACTGTAGTCACCAAATAAGCCATAAATAAAGGGATCTCTGCAATAGTTTGGCTCTAATACAAAGTATGATTGTAAGGAGGCATTGTGTAAAGCTGGATGATGTGAATAGATATAAATATAAAGGTTAATACTACATCAATCCATGTTGACAGCTCTTCCTATTACAGTGGAGTGCGTCAATATAGGATAGAGAGTCATGGTCTAATATATTTAAAGTGGAAAGAACCACTGGTGGTAGCTGACATTGGAGGAAAAATATTTACAAAGTTAATGAAAAAAATATTTGTATACATATGTACTTAAGTAAAAAGATATAACTTGGTGATCCAATTACTCAATAAAGGGGGTAAATGTAAAACCCTCATTTAATCCATCTGGGGCTAATGTGTTGAACCTATATATCCAGGAGCATTCTCTCTTGAGGAGGACGAGATCCAAATCTCCTCCTCTTCGTCCAAGGGTCACTTTTTCAATACCTGCAAATCTAACACCACTGGGGTCACCATGATGATGACTCCTAATGTGTCTTGCCACTGGGGTGTCTCTGAGGTTTTTAACAGAGTGTATATGTTCCATCACTCTCCTTTTAAAGGGACGGATGGTTTTTCCAACATATCTAAGACCACATGTGCAAATCAGGAGATAGATTATACCTTTAGTGTTGCAGTTAAAGAATTGTTTGGTAGTACATACAGTTTGTTCACTTGAGTTTGTGAGACACTTAGAATCTTTTTTCATGTACCTACAGGCCACACATTTACCGCATTTATAGGTTCCTTGTACAGATAGCCAATTGTGACCAACCTTTTTGTTGGATAGATGGCTCGGTACCAAGTTGGTCCCGCGGTTTACAGCGTTTTACGGTAGTCGGGTTATGAACTTCTTGTGGGTATCGCCGTCGGGAGATTTGGGTGTACTTTGCTGAGTAGGCTTCTCGCTCTGTCTTGTGGCCAGCATATGCTTGCGTGCAAGGCCGGTCTCTGCTTGTCTCCTCGGCTTGGTCTGTTTTATTGGCGGGCCTTCGCTTTTGTGTTGGCGCCCAGTTCTTGCTCTCTTTTCTCCGTGAGAATTGGTTTGAAGGTAGGAGCGTGCGGGTAGCAGTGTCGGCTTTTGCTCTTTTGGGA